CTTGTGTCCGGTCATGTGTCTTGAGTATCCACTATCAAGGTACCATGAGTTTGAACTTGTTTCACATGCCTTAGCAATGCTTATTTCCCTACAAACATAGATTAATTTTTATTTTTGGTACCCAATTTCTTTTGGGTCCATATTAATTAGTTTCTAAAATTCTAGTCCCCTTGGGTATCCATTTGTGTAGGATATTCTTATCTTTAATAGTAATGAGTTCTTTAGGAACTCATATACTTCTAACGATTTTTCCATTAGAGGTTCTTCAGGGACCTCTATGATTGTAGTTTTTAAAACTTTTTCTAATAAAGTTAGATTTTGAACTTTCTCCATTTTCAAAATGTTTTGTTTATCAAAATAAGCTTTAAGATCATCAATTTTCTTTTGATGATCATCATTCACTCTTGAAAATAGTTATGTAAATCAGTATTTTCTTTTTAAATTCATCTAATTTGATTTGCAATTCTTTGACCTTACTTTCAAGATCAATGTTGGTTTTAAATATGAGATTATTTTCGTTTTTCAATTTTGAAATATCATTTTTGTATTTTAAAAATAATCTCATAATCCGAAGCCAACCCAGTATATTCCTCTAATAGCTCATCAAAAGAATAATCTTCGTAATTAAATGAGCTAGAGGTTACCTGAGAATCCTCCCCGAAAGCCAACGAGCACAAGTTTGCTACTTCTTGTTCCTCTTCATCGGAAGCTTCATAATCGCTCCATGTAGCCACGTGTACCTTATGTTTCTTCTTGGATTGACCATTTTTCTTTAATTATGGGCAATCGTATTTGACATGCCCCGGCTTTTTGTATTCGTAGCAAATGATCGGGTCTTTCTCTTTTAGTTCATTTTTGAAGCCTTCATTACGTTTGAATTTTCTTCCTCGGTTAGGCTTCATCAGTTTTCTGAACTGTTTGGAAAATAATGCCATTTCCTCGTCATCATCATCTTCATCCAAAACACTTTCATTTTTCGTGGATTTGAGCGTAATTCCAGAATTTTTCTTCTTCTCCTCTCCTTCTTTGGCTCATATCTTTTCTCGAGGTCTACCTCATCTTGAAGCATCATTTCATGCGGGAGGAGAGAACCAATAAGCTCATCGAGGGTCAAGGATTTAAAGTTTTTAGCCTCGATGATCGTCGTCTTTTTTTATTGCCAAGATTTTGGAAGAGAGTAAACTAACTTCTTCACAGGTTTCTCGTTTGGAATGAACTTTCCATATGATTTGAGACCATTGACAATCGTTGAAAATCTATCTGTCATAGCCTTGATATCTTCATCTGGGTTCATCCTGAAATTTTCATAGCTATGAGTTAGAAGACTAATTTTAGATTTTTTTACCTTGTTTGTGCCTTCATGAGTGGCTTGTATTTTATCTCATATCTTATTGGTGGTTGTACAAGATGAAACTCTTTTGTATTCATCTGGTCCAAGAGTACAAAAAATAATATGGATAGCCTTTGAGTTGAGCTGGAACATTCTTATCTCTGCTTCACTCCACAATCTTGAATGAGTGGAATGAATGAAGTATTCGTCTTCTATGATATTTCATGCTCTCATATCACTTTCTTGAATGAAGTATCTCATTCTATTATTCCAATAAGCATAATTAGCTCTATTAAAGAAATGAGGCTTGTTGATGGGCATTGAATCAAGACCAAGGTCGAAGTTTGATGACTTGAATATCGATATAACTCTTCCCGAATCGACTCAAGAGGCGATTAAACCTTTAAATGAGTGAGGCTCTGATACTAATTGTTGAGTTAATCGATCGACGAAATAGCCAAGAGGAGGTGAATTGCCAATTAAAATTTTGGTAGAAGCTTTTGCAGAAAATAGAAAATAATTGCACATCCATTTAAAGTGGTTCGACTTTCTCAACCAAGGTCTACGTCCACTACCTTAGCTATCCACATTAAGGATTTTCCACAATAAGCATTTTCCACAAATTCACTAATTTGTCTTTCTTTTAAGGACAAAGAGTAACCTTATAAATCCCTCAAGAATTATACCCCAAATTCTTGAGAACACTCTCTCCCAAAGAGAGCAATACAAATTTTGCAAACTTACAGAAAAACCTTACAATACAATGTGTTTGCACAATTCTAGAACAAGAAAAGAAAACTCAAAGATGATTACAAATGAGCACAATATGTGTTCTTGAAAACGAAATGAATATTGAAGGAAAATTGGCTTGAAATGCACAAACTTGATGTTTAATGCTTTCTCTCTTGTTTCTCAATGAATTCTTATTGATCAATGGCTTCAAAACTTGTTTAAATACACCTTGGATTGATTCTAGCCGTTGTGAATCATTTGGGTGATGTTAGAACCGTTATAGTGTGAAAACCCTCTAGAAAAAGGCTGCTGGGAGCATGGGGTATGGGTACCTCTTCAATGGGTATCGGTACCTGCAGTGTAAAATTCAAATATTTCTATCGTTAAATGACTAGGGGTATCGGTACCCATAGAGCATTTTGTTTTTCTCGGAGCTAAAACTTGTATAGGGGTATCGATACCCTATGAGGGGTATCGGTACCCTCTGGGCAATCTGTTTTTCTCGAAGCCCTTCTATCTAAAAATTGTTTTTGGCTCGATCAAGGCTAGAAATACTTTGTAAAATTAGTTTTGAAAAATATTTTAAGATTAAAGCACAATTTTACACTTAAGTAAGGATTGAAATTGACATTTGAAAGACTTGGAGTAATATTTTGATATTCGAATAATTTAATCGAATATACTTAAAATGATTATAAAATCTTAAAATTCAATAACACTTAATTTGTTATATCGAAACATCAAAATGTTTTCAACGGTGACTAAATTATAAAAATTTTAGAATTGAAGGATAAATTACAAAGAAGAATGAATTAAAGGACAAAATGGTATTTAGAGTAAGGAAATAATTAAAATTTGGATGGGTTTATATTAACCCACGTGGAAGAGGAAAAGAAGGCAAAAAGTTGTTTCAAAGTTCTCTGCTCCTTCTTCCTTCCATCATACATGAGAGCCAAGCAAAGGTGAGATTTCTCATTAGTTGATAATTAGTTGAAATTTAAGTTTGGTTTTGATTATGAAGAGATATTTAAGCTTAAGGAAAGCTTAAATTTGTCTCAAAACAACAAGATGAAAGGTATAGGAAGGATTAAAGAAATGAAGTTAATAAGTGAAATCTTGATAGAAAAGTATTAATTAGATTTCAAGACTAAATTTGACTTTTCATTGGTGAAATTAAGGAATAAGAAGTGTTAGAATTGGAATTAGAACATGTTGGAAATTGAGTTTGATTCTTGAATTCTATGTAAATGATAGGATTTTGAGGTTAAAGATGTGATAAATGAGTATTAATAAGTTTAAGCATGTGTATGTAAGTTAAGAATATGAAAGTAGATGATATAGGAAGTGTTTGAGCTGGAATGAAATGATTTTCGTGCTTAAAATGTGATTTTTGGGCTAGGGGTATCGGTGCCCATTCAACAGGTACCGATACCTCAAGAGTAAATTTTAAGGAATGAATTCAAAGGGTACTGATACCTTGAAGAATAGTATCGATATCAAGGGTACCAATACCTTAAGGAGGGTATCAATACTACTTTTGAACGAAAATTTTAAAGAATGCAACATGGGTATCGATATCTAAGCATGGTACTGATACCTCAGTTAAGGGATGTATCGATACCCTATAGGGGGTACCGATACCAGTTTAAATAGAAAATGAAGTTTTGCCTTTCCTTTAGTCTAAGAAATGAAATTTTAGAGTATGTCAATTAGAATATTTATATGGATCAATGTATGTTTATATAGATATTGAACGTAATCTCGTTACGGAACAATCGAAGGATTAGAAACGGTCGAGAGCGAGATAAAGTGCTAGTATTGATACGAATCAAGTGTGGCTAAGGTGAGTACATCCTATAGATAGAGTTCAATGGAAATAAGACTTGCGACAAGTTTATTTCCTATATTAGATGTTATGATTTCCTTTTTATATACTTGCATATGTTATGGTTATAATAAGTATTTGCATATCTTTTAAATGCTTTAATATAATATATATTGAATGTATGCAATTATAAGAGAACAAATTCAGGTATGAATAATAAGCAAAGTGATCATATGTGTTCATGTGAAGTGAATGGTATGTTTATATGAGAAGTGAGCAATGTGTATATGAAAATGTGTAATGTAATCATATTTAAGCCCATGTTATATAATATAAGAGTTGTAGGTATATAATTGGCATGCCAAGAGTCGAGGGATTATCAGTGGTCCTTCGAGACATAGTGGTTCTTTGGGACAAGTTTTCAGTGCCCTAGTAGGAATTTATTCGAGCTATGGTGACAGCATTTGTGCACAATCTCAGTGTAATCATGTACCTTCTGTTCTCAATAATGTACATGGGCATCCAAAGATATATTGAATGAAAATTATTATAAGAAGTTAAAGTTCACTTGTGCACATCATAATTATATATTTCATAGTTTAGTAAATACATGTACATTGCAATGTCATTATGGATTAATAGTAGTGCATGTTAATGAATTTATTGTTATATGTTCATTTTATGTCTCACTAAGTCTGTGACTTAGCGTGTAAATGGTTTACACGTAGGTACCAAGAAACAAGAAGATCAGAATTAAGAGTGGCAAGGACAACATCACTACTAGAAGATTAGATCAGAAGTAATTGGCAAAGTATGTGTTTTGTTGTATTTAGTATGTTGGTATGTAAACAATTTGTTAATTACGAATACTCTAATCGATTTTGTATTATTCTGGTCAAACTTTTGTAAGTTAACAGCTTTTATTTTAATGAAAGTACAAAATTTCCTTGATTTTCTTTAAGAGTCAAAGTTTGAAAAGTCAATGTGACATTTCGAACTCGTATCTGGGTCGGGTACGAATTAGGGTGTTACACTCTCTGTGAGTATAATTCGTTCTCCATTAGAAAACATAGTAGCACTCAATTTTTCAGATGTCTTCAAGGGAATTTCTGATCATCTCTTCAAACCAATACTTTTACCAAGTTCATTCAGGAGATCATTGAAAATTACCTCCTCAACTGAGTCAGAAATAGTCATGTTGCCATTTTCTAATTTCTCTTTTATTTGATCCTCAACGACTAGATTATTGATTCCTTCAGCATCCATATTATAGTTTATAGAGTTCATGTTTCCTGAAGGTTCTTGCATCTCCAATACCTTCTTAAGCTCCATACGACTTGAAGTTTTACCTGTAAATTATCAAGTACCGAGTAACTACGAAATTTGAGTTTTTACAGTTTATTTATAACATCAAAAGCACATCAAGTCACTCACCAGCATGGCTAGCAGAAGAAAAAACATCAGCTAGAGAAGCTATCTCAGAACAAACGGCTTTGCTACCTCTGCTTTCAGAACCCAGCATTCCAGATTCAACCAAGTTAGAATCATCAACATCACCTGTTCTATTTGAGGACGGGGAAGACTCATTTTCAAAATAATCATCATGTATCCTTTTCTCTTCAGCATTTTTCACCAATCCAGTATTCTCCTTACGTACTAATACAGATTCATGAATACAGGGTGTATTTCCTGGATTTGGATCTTCACTCTTTTCTTGATCATACATACATCCCTCTTCTTGCTGCATCAGCAGCTTCAACCCTATACGTATCTTCGACTGCAATGAAGAAAAAGAAGACTAAAAAAGCAACCCGTGAAAATTATGCATTCTATAGAACTTATACCTATAGAAGGAAAGTAAAGAATTTTCACACACATTGGTTTCCTGGTGTAGGTCCAAATGAATTTCCTGGGGTAACAATGTTGCTATAAGAGCTCTGCTGGATTTCAAGTACCTTTTGAGCATCGGTTTCAGCAATAGCATAATGAGATTGTGCACTACTCTCTTTGTTTTCAGCAGCCTCAACTGAACACTCTATGTGTGGAATCCCTTCTCTATGTGAGACATAAATAGCATTCATTTTTCAGCTTTCTTCAGGAAATTTTCTAATTCACTCTTCAAACGAGTAATTTCACTAGTTCTATTAATGTCAAAACCTTCCTTCTTGACGGATTCAGCAACAGTGACATTGGTATCTTTTAATTCCAGTATGGTCCTAGTCTCTCCCAAAGGAATTCTACTTATAGCAGCAGTGGCGTCATCACTCACGAAGTTAGTGTTTTCACCACCTAATAGCTCTGTCTCCAATTCTTTCTCCAATTGAAGGAAGGCATAGATCAAAACGAAATTCACTCACCACCCACCTATAAGATCTCTTTGATCAGCCAATGAATGACCATTGTCTCCAGAAGTTATCTCATCCATGTTGATAACATTACTTTCAAACTCTACCAGCCTAGATTTAACCCCATTAGAGTCTATAACAGCTCCCATTTCACTGTCATCAGCATCAACCTGGACCTCACTTTCCACAAGGGCTCTATCCTCCTTGTAAACAACCAAAGATTCATGTGAAAAATGTGCGTCCAGTAAATTTATATCTTCCTTCATTTCTTGATCAGACACTTCATTTCCTGAAACACAGCATTTTAAAGTTCTAGCTATTTTATTTTCAAGATAGTCAAACAAATGAATTCAAGAATAGAAAAAATGTCATTAAGGATTAAATTTTTGAAAACAGAACAGAGGAGGGAAAGTTGGGAATTTGGCCCACCATGACTTTCAACTGGAAAGGTTATCAGAGAATAATCCACCCCTTGACTACCCTCGCTTTCATATTTCAAGTGTTTGAGGTCCGACCCGTTAACATCACCCAATACACATGTTTTATTGACAGTCTGACTTGACATGCAATGCACTTCACTCTCAATATTGTTGCCACTGACTAAATTCTCTACGACATCTTTTACTAAGTTGTCTTCCTTCTCATAGACCACCACAGATTTGTGAGCAGACTGCTTCATTTCTTAGTCTTTAGAAGAGCCTACCAACTTCACAGGTGATGCAGTAATATTTTCCTCCATATTTTCAGTAGAATCCTTGTCTTCCTCCATGTTAAGAAATATAGGAGAGGCCTCTGTAAACCCATACTGCTTTGCTCCAGAATTCATTCTCAATTCCTTTCTCCTTTTGTTAGAGCATGCATCACCGCTGTTGACAACCTTTTTGCTAACGTCCAAATCAAGATTATTTTTATCTCGTGCACATTCTGACACAACAAATTGTCCATCCTTTCCAGCTGGTAATTCTTTAGGAGATGGAAGACTCTCAGTAGGTGCAACTTCCTCTTCTACAATCTCCATTCTAGACTTGCTTTGCCGTTTCTTCTTGACGCCTTTAGCTGTTGAATTAGGAGGTGCAATAGAGGCAATTTTAGAAGTAATATGTCTGGATCTTCTTTGGGGTTTCTGCTTCATTGGATGATGCTCACGAGCAGAAGTTTCTTATTCTTCCAAAATAGGCTCTTGCACTTGCTGCTTAACTCCCCGGTCACTTTCGGCAACAGCAATTTGATCTTCCTTATTTGCCAACTCAGCAGCTGGAGCAATAAGAATCCCGGTCTTGCGCCTGCCCCTCCTCAAGAGGGCTTGATGTTGTGAAGTCACGGCATACTTGGCCCTATTAACCTCACTACCATCTTCCTCAATAACATCCAATTCTTTGGTCGTGCCTTTCTCTAGAAGCGGTGTTATTAAGTGCTCCATTTCACCAATATCTTCCTTATTTGCCAACTTGGCAGCTGGAGGAGTAATAATCACAGTCTTGCGCCTGCTCCTCCTCAAGGGAGCTTGCTGTTGTGAAGTAACCGAATACTTGTCCCTCTCAACCTCACTACTATCTTCCAGAATAGCTTCCAATTCAGCAGTCCTGCTTCGTTTTCTGGCCTCCTCTTTTGGAAATTCCCCCTTATTTCCCCCCTTACCACTTTGAGATACACCAGATTTTTGCCTGGAAGAATGTCTCCTTAAACATTCTGGAGGTTCCACGAGTGCAACATCTCTTTCAGATTATTCTTGAACCTTTGTTACCAGAGCATCACTTTTCACAGATGCAACACTTCTATCACTAACTTTTTCTGAATTACGTTTTGTTCATCTCAAAGGCTTCTCTGTTTCATTCCCATCCTTTACCTCAACTATTTTAACTTCATTTTTAACCATAGAAACTTCATCTTTAGATTGTGCCCTAGACTGTCGAGTCACCCTAGAAACAACTTCAACCTTTCCCACGTCACTGTTGACTGCCACACCCTGATCTCGTTTTCTAGTATTCCTCGTTGACTGCTTTGGGCAATTTTTGCCTTCAGAACTTTCATCCAACAGATGAGCCTCGTCACTTCCTCTGTCGTTCCTTATCTTCTTTGAATCTTCCTGAGTCACATTCTTCTTACTTCTTAACTGTCTCCCGCTTAACCCACCAGTAACCTTATAAAGACCGTTCTTGACATCTTCTTTTTGACCCAATTCTAAACCCTCCAAATCACCGATATTAGCCACCACCTCGGCATCTTTAATCTTCTTGCCTCCTTTCCCTTTCTTTCTCCCATAAGGAGGCGAAGAAGCCATGGATTATTCTGATAACCTTTTAATATCTTCACTTACAGTATTTTCAATTACCTGGTCAGGATTATTGGACAACGTTTGCCTCCTAGACCTTCTAGGCTGCCGATAGACAGAAACCTCGTACTCGATGGTTTGATTGTCAAGACTAAACCCAAGGAAGCACGGGGACGGCAAACTTGTGCCGTTTGAAGTACCTGATACGTCCCCGGTACGGGGACGACACGGGGACGGCTGGGGTACGTACCGAGAACGTTCCATGGTAGCGGGTACGGCTGAACGACGCCGGGAACGTTTCACAGAATCTTGGAGACGTTTCGGGGACGGCATGTGACTTTCACATGCGTCCCCGGGATATTTCCGTCATTTTACAATAAAAAAAAAAGAAAAGCATAACCTAATTGAAGGCTGGAGCTTTCGGCAACAATTGCTTCTGCTTCTTGAGCTTTTCGACAGCAATCGCCAGCAACTGTTTCTAGCTGTATCTTTTTTGTGCCAATATCTACAGTCTCCGATGACAAATGGTTCTCCATTTCTCGAGTGATCAATCGCCTAGGTAGGGTGAAATTAAACAAGCTTCAAAATTGCTGATATTTAACTAAAAAACAAGTAATATGGAAGTTTAGCTTACGGGAAAGCCGTTATGTTTATTGCTTTGCAAAATGGAAACCAAATCTGAAACCTTTACAACGCGAGGAAGTGAAAGAACCTGTGAAGGCATAAATATAAGATGTTTAAGTTGTACTGTTTTAAGAACATAATTGTGCACATATTTCTGAAATTTATTGATTATGTTGGCTGACTTGCTATTGCAGACTTCAGGCTTCACTTGGGAATTCATAATTTTTTCTTTTTTTTAATATTTTAGTTTCAAGGAGATTTAGAATTTAGTAATATTCTGTTTCGTTTTCACTTTAACAACATGCGTGTTCTGAAGGTATAAAACTATGGATAGAATTTATAAATATTCACAACTCACGAGTCTAAAAAAGAGTTGTTCACCACACTATTGTGTCTTAAACAACTGAACCATGGAGCATATATATAATTATAAATACGTGTGTATGTATTGGAACTATCAAGATTCTTTTTTTTTGTAACTTTTGATGCAATGTCTTGTATACCTTCAAGGTTACATGACTACTCAATACACATTAGTTGCTTTCTATATTGGTTTTCATTTTTCTAGTACATACGGCTGAACATAGCTTTTGATCATGGAAGCACATGGTTATCATTTTATAATGTACTTAGAACATATTATATAAAATATTATTATTCGCCTTTTACTTGAGTTATTCTAAAATATTATTATTTAATACATAAATTATATAAAATAAATTTTACATGAGTTATTCTAAAATATATATTTATAATTTTAAAATTATTTTATATGTCGTACCCTTGCCGTCTTCGTACCCTGTAATTTTAAAAATTACCGTTTTCCGTCCCCATCCCCGTATCCGTCCCCGTATTCGTATCCGTGCAACATAGACTAAACCTGACTTTCTTTATCTGTTTTTTGACAGCAATAGCTTTATCTTCACTCAATATTTCTTCTGGATTAGAGCTCAACTCCGCTGACGAAACAGGATCTTCGCTTTCCTGTTTGAAACAGGGATGAACATACAAAATAATTGAGTCACTTAAATATAATTATTGAATTAAACCTTTGAACCACAAATATTTATTGTGCAACTTGCTTCTATTTTTTATCTCCAAAGTAAATCAATTAACGAAAAAGAGACATAATTGTTTAAAGTTAACGAAATGTAATACCAAAGCAAGTGTATTGTTTTTGTTCATAAAATTTAAATAGGCAGTTTAGTCGAGCGGTTCAAAAACATTGTTTACTTTTTCTATTCGGGTTTTATTTTTCTGTTGCTTCAATGAAGGCCAGTAGTAGAAAATAATAATAATAATCGTGTTTAAACTTCTAACTTGTAATCCTTAAGAGCAATAAAGCATTGAAAATCAAATTCCATCACCAAAAGTTAGAATTCAATGCTTCCCGTTTGAAATTACTTTAAGATCTATTGATATAAAGAAAAGCATTGGAGAAACTCAAAACAGTCCGTCTCTACATAATCTAAACTAGTTACATGAAATTCTTCACATGATCGAGATTTAGCCTTAATTCATAGATTCGGTTCCCAATTGACAGTCAATGAATTTTTTTAGAAAAATATATGACAGAGACGGTACCTTAAATATGGAGGCCGAACGATCCGCCATTTCACGGTTGGTTAAATTCGCGGGGACGCCGTGCTTTTTACACAACGCCGGCAGTTCCTTTCTCTTCATGCCATGAAAATCCATCTCTTAACAATAATTAAGAAAAGAAAATCAAAGGGAAATATTACTAGAAATCCATTTTTTAGTTAAAAACAAAATACTAATTTGTTTTCCATGGAGGAAAGCTGCTGAAGTAGAACTGTAGCAACAGATTTTCAACGTTTACGAATGTTGTTCGTTTTGTGGTAAAATAGTGGCTTGGAAATCGACGGTTTGAACTCAAATGTTCAAGGGCCAGTTCTGGCGCGATTTGAATTCAAATTTTCAAACGGCCAGTTTTGGCGATTCTTTGAAAACTTAAACGAGTCAGGCTACTCGCTGTATTTCATTGAATTGCTGTCTACTCACCAGTAGTGCTCGACAGACGGTATGTTTACGGAGCGTATAGTGGTAAGCTCGGTCCAAGCAGACAAGTACGGTAGGCGAGTAAAACTAGATTTGACTTAAAATATTAAAAATTAATTTGTTTAACTGATTTGAATTGACTCCGAGTTGTAATTGTACAAACTCAACTAAAAAAATTCAAGTTTAAATCGAGTTATAAAATACAACTCGAATAACTCAAAATTTTTAGTAATTAATGGAATGGTTTTAAGTTTGAGTCGAATCCCTCTTCTTATTCGACTCTGTATGATATATGTATATTACATATGAAAAAATATATATATATGGTTATAAAAAAATATTTAAATTAGAATCAGATAATATCATAATATTATAAATATTTACAATTAAATTTAAACAGAAACTCGAAAACTTGAATCAAATTTTATAAACTTGACCTGACTTAAAAAAGTGTAAATGAAGTTCAAATTATAAAATAAGATTCATCAACCTAAATAATTTAATTTTTTTAACTCGACTCAATCGAACATTAAACCGATAAAGGTCGGTGATCCAAGTATTTTGGAGTTGCGAGTGGGCTCTGAATTTGTCGTATTACATTTCATTAATAGATAAGGTTCTGTCTTTATTGAATATCGCCGCGTGGAGGAATATCTTAGCTTGGGAAGCGGTAAAACTGGGGTAGATCTCATGGATTAAGGTTTGTTCATTGCTTTTGCTTTAATAATATATCAATTTGATAGTGTTTTAAAATAAAGGAGACATATGGGGAGAGAAAATAAAGATAAATGTATTAATATTTTTCTTATTTTGATGAGTATATGAACTATATATATATATATATATATATATATATATATATGGGTGAGGAATGTTATCTAATAATTATAATACATGTGAAGAGTCAAATCCTTTAGCATTTCATCTTCTCAATTCATTGAAAAATGCTAAAAGTTACATTAACTAATAGGAGTAATAATGACATCCACATAATATATTCATAACATTTCCCTTTGGATGTCCACTATCTAATTGTACCTCGTTAAAACTTTACTAAGAAAAATCTAGTAAGACAAAAACCTAGTGAAAGAAAGAAAATAAAAAGTACATAATTATACACTTGACATGATGCCTCATTAAAAACCTTACTTGGAAACCCAGAGAGAAAAATCAAAGTTAAGGGAAAAAGTGTACAACTTGTATTTACTCCCCCTAATGGCTACATCACTTGAGATCTCTAAGGTAATACATTCCAATGTAGTGTAATAACTTTTTGAAACATAGATGTAGGAAGTGCCTTATTGAATAAATCTTCTAAATTATCACTTCAACTGATGTGATTAACTTTTATCTCTTTAAGCTTCTGAAGGTCACGAGTGAATAATAATTTAGATACAATGTGTTTTGTTCTATCACCTTTGATGTACCCACTCTTGAGTTGTTCAATGCATGTTGTATTATCTTCAAACAAGACAATATCAATTTCTTTTCCAAATAATAAACCACAGTTATTCCGTATGTACTGATTGAATCATAAATCTTAGCCATACACATTCATGACTAGCTTCATGGATTGCTAAGATTTCTGCATGATTAGAAGAAGTTGATGCAATCGTTTGCTTCATGGAGCACCAATAGATTGTTGTACCACCATATGTAAAAACATATCCAGTATGTGATTTACCATTATGATGATCTAAAATAAATTCTGCATCTGCAAAACCAATCAACTCAGTTTTGGATTTATTATGGAAAAACAGACTTATATCTTTTGTGCCTTGTAGATAATGAAATACTTGCTTAACTCTTGTAGTCCAATGTCTTCAAGTTGGGCATGAGCTAAATCTTGCCAGTAAATTTACAGAAAATGATATATCAAGTCAGGTATGACTAGCTAGATACATCAATGCCCCAATTGCATTGAGGCGGAAATAATCTTTACTCTGTTCAAATGATCTTACAACCATTGAGGTAGTCATTGGATATGTCTTATCCATATAAAATCAATTTAGCACTTTTTCTATATTCATTGATTGATGCACAAGGATTCCATCTTTTAGGTCCTCAATTTGTAACCCCAAACAAAATTTCATTTTTTTTTAAGGTCTTTTATCTCGAATTATTTCTTCAAACAATCAACTGCAGTTTGAATCTCTTCATGAGTTCTAATGATATTTAAATCATCATCATATATTGCAATAATAACGTATCTAGTTCCAGACTTCTTAATAAAAATACATGGGCAAAGTGGATCATTCTTATAATCATTTTTAACAAAAACTCGCTTAGGTGATTATACCACATGCGTCCAAATTGTTTCAGTCCATAGAGGGATCTATTCAATTTGATTGAATAATGTTCTCGAGAACCTGAATTCACTGCTTCTGGCAGTTTAAATTCCTCAGGGAGTTTCATGTAAATGTTAGTATCTAGTGGGCCATACAAATAAGATGTTATTATATCCATTATACATAAATCAAGGCCTTCTCTTATAGCCAAACTTATCAAAAAATCTAAATGTAGTTGCATCCACCACAGGAGAATATGTCTCCTCATAATGAATTCCAGGTCTTTGTGTGAATCCTTGTGCAAACAAACGTGTTTTATATCTCACAATTTCTCTTTTTTCATTTCTTTTGCTCACAAAGATCTATTTGTATCTCACTGATTTCACTCCTACAGGTGTACGAATTACTGGTCCAAACACTTCTCTTTTCGCTAGCGATTTCAATTCACTTCAATTGTTTCTTTCCATTTTGGCCAATCATCTATTTGCCTACATTTCTTAATTGATTTTATTTCATGATCCTCTTTGTTGTTCATAGCATCTAGTGCTACATTGCATGCAAAAACATCATCAACGTCGATTTGATTTTGCTTCCATTTAATACCAGACACGACAAATAGAGATCCCTTCATTTTTAGGTACTTGAGTTTTATTTTCCGAGTCATGTCTAAATTCTCTTCTGAAAATCTTGGTAAAACCATTGTTTCCTCGATTTGACCATCATTCTTCTTTGCTCTTTTTATTTTTCGAGAATTCTTATCCTTGGAACCAATTGGTCTACCACGCTTCAGGCATGCATTAAACCTATTAGCAACTAGAATTTGTCCTTCTAGGATGTCAAGTGTTATTGAGGGAATTCACAGCTAGTATATGTGACTTAGTAACTCTCTTTGGGTCTAAATGCATCTGACAATTCATTAGTTAAATTTTGCACATTAATAATCTTTTAAACTTCCAATTCACATTGCTTAGTACGAGGATCAAAATGAGACAATGAATTTTTTTCCAATTAATTACCTTTACTGGTTGTTTGATCTCTGCCCTTAATGTTGGAAAACTGACTCGTCAAAACGAAAATAAGCAAAACGAGCAGTAAATAAATTCCTATTAGATGGTTCTAGATATTTAATTATCGATGGGGATTCAAATCCAACATATATACCCAACCTTCTCTGAGGACCCATCTTAGTTCTGTATAGTGAAGCTATTGGAACATATACAACACATCCAAAAGTTATTAGATGTGATATATTTGGTTCCTGACCATGAACCATTTGTAATATAGGGAGATTTTATGATAACTTATTGGCCTGATGTGAATCAGTGTCATCACATGTAAAATTCCATGCCTCCAAGCAGTGATTGGGAGTTTAGACTTCATGAGTAATGGTCTTGCTATCAATTGA